ATGGTATTTTTTTTTTTTCCTGTTATTTTCAAAACTATACTTCATTCTTAGGTATCTGAGCTGAATTACCTTTATTCTGAATTGAGCATCCTTCTGGTACAGACATGCAAATCTCTGAGCCACAACCACATTTGGTGAGTGACTTTCCCAAGCTGGTTTGAGTCAGCACTACAGACACAGCAATAATTTTCAACAGTTTGTACTCCTCTGACTTTTCAAGTCCTCATCATCCACATCTCAACACCTCCCTGGCAGAACTCTCTGGCAGCTCAAGCACCTGCAGGCCCTAAGCCAAATTCTAGGAGATGCAACACATGCCCACAAAATCATGCTCACAAAATAGCAGGCTATGACACAGTCCTCATGTTATTTCAGACATTTTAGACAGATAAGACTAAAAAAATTAAGACCCAGGGCTACCACCAGTGCCCACTGCAGGCCAAGGATAGGATTCTGGGGGAAGCAGGGAGAAGTAAAAGGGACAAGCCTCCAGCACTGTTGACACAAGCTGCATTTCACCCCTTGGCCCAAGGGATGTGGATCATTCCCTGGAGAAGAACCTTTTCACACTGGAGATGAAACCTGTGTCACTGACCTCATTTCTCTCCATTACAGCCTTATTAATCTTCCTAACCTACAGATGTTTTGTGTAGCTATGCTTTTACTTTATCTAAGCATTTTGTCCTTTGTCCTCTCACTTCCTTTGCATATTACCTTGGGTAATCAAACGTTTGCCATTTAGCTAGACTATAAAAATCAGAATCAATTACAAAGCTCTCAAGTTAAATCCTACATGTTGATTTAAAGGTTAAAGCAATGGACTTGAAAGACTGAAAAAAAAAACCCCTAAATATTAATACTGTAGAATTACAAAAATGAGAACCATAACTGCCGTGGTTACCAAGTCTCTGTGAAATCTACGGAGCATGGAGCAGCATAAAGCAGAGACATAACACATTTCAGCTCCTGATGACACTGAAGAACAGCGAGCTTTGCTGTAAAGGACAAAGGAGTGAGTCTAAGCTGATGGGAAGGTAGCATTACCCAACAACCAAACTGATAGTAAAGTCCTTGGATACTCCCCAAAGTACACGTAAGACTGGCACAATAGAGACATTTCCTCAGACAATGTTTGTAAGGTGTAAGGTGTGATAAGTTTGTCAACATATGCCCTTATGAGATGTAGGTATAGTAGTCCCACTTTTTATCAAAGAAGAATGTTTTTAAAAATTGGGACAAATTTCTTCCTGATGTTCTGCTGAAGTCAGTGAGCTCATGTTAGAATTAACTTACTTTCATCTGTACTGAAAATATAAAAACAAGGCTTGAGCAAGTGTGAGATGAACCACTACCAGAAAGGGGCTAGTTTTCAACTTTTAACTAGAAGGAGATGGGGCTTGAGTGCCAAATCTTTCACAATAGTTCTCTATGGATTTTTAGACAATCTATGGATTATTTTGTAGAAAATAACACTCAATTACATTTTTATTTTTATGTAAATTGGTGGTCAGAGACAACTAGAAATACTAAACTGAATTTCTCATGCAATGTTTCAATCAAAGTCCCTACTAGATTACAAGATCTCTTCTGCCTTCAGCTATATTTTACAATAATAGTTTGTGATTTTGGGTGTCGTCATGGTTATATGTCAGCTCAAATGTTTTGGTATTCTTAACCACTCCAAAAGAAAAAAAAAACAAACCAAAAAATGTGTTCAGGGTTCTAATTTAAGTATTAGTTCTTCTAAAACCTGGGTCTAAAATGTCTCAATTCCCACTCCTAAAAAGCATTTACATGAGAACCACACAGCTATCTGTAGGAAGCAAAAAAACAAGGATTCACCAAGAGTCAGTGAATTATGTGGAGAATGCTGCAGGGAACATTTCTTTACATGAATAAATATATAATATGAACATATGCATTTGTAATTCTATTTAAGAAGCTTTAAGGTATTACTTTTCAGCCCTTCCCATCCACAGATGTTTAGGACTAGCTGCAGAAGTTGGGATAGCTGTGCAATATTATGCCCACTCAACCAACTTACACTTTGCAACACGTTCTCACTCTTGGGATGTTTGGAAGATTTCCTAGATGGGCCTGACTGTTGTCTTCTTGAGGACACTGAGCAGGCTCAAAACGCAAACTCACCCTGGGAGGGGGTTCACCCAGTCCTGCAGCTACATCCTGGGAGGTGTAGAGAAGAGGCAGAAAAGTCTATCAAGGCCCCATCCAATCATCCCAGCCATGCCAGCAATGGCACATGCCCTTTGCACAACAGAAATGCCACTCAAGTTGATCCAAGAGGTGTGAAGTAACAACTATGGAAGATCGTTAACTTAAAAGGACTGAAACACACAGCTCCAGTTCCCCAAGAGAGTAATTGCTCACATTGAATGGACACAACAGGTGAAATTAGACTACATTCAGGCATGCTACATTAAAGGATGAAAGGAAGCAGAGAAGAAGCTTGATGATGAAGCCAGCTCAAGCCTAGTGGTAGGACCCTAGACTAAAACTGGGTAAAATGAGTATTCTGATTTCTGTTTTATGTCCCACAACAGAGTCCTGTATAAACACAGGGACAGGTCAGGAATATCCAGAGAGAAGACAAAATCTAAGAAAAGCAGTTTATGAGGTTAGAGGAAGAATAAATACAAGATATAGGATATAGACTACTAGCATACATACAGCAAAAGTGAAAAATCAGAGGTCTGACCAGAGGAGAGTAGCAGAGAAGGGACAGAGGAGCACTGGCACCATCCCAGAGGGCAAGGGGACATGAAAAAGGTTTGCTTTTGGTTGTCACAATACCCTACTCCTCACTGAGGAAAAAAAACAAGAGCAGAAACAGCTTTTGACCCTCTTTTCTCACACATTTGATAAGTGACAACTACATTTAAAGGAGGATCTAAGAATAAAGGGAAGCCACTTGACTGCTGCCCAGTTCTTCCCAATGTGGCAAGTATGACGCCTCAAAAAGTGAGCCACAGGACAGAGCACAGCTACCATTAGCAGCTGCCTATTTACCAGGACAACTCTGCTTAGGTCCAGACCTCAAGTTAGCAAAGGTGAGTTTTAAACAGACCCTTGGATGGGATTTAACTGTTCTGGCTTAGGTGTTCAGTCTGAGAATATCATCATGAGCACTCTGTGTAACCAAGTCGGAGAAAGGCACCTTGGCACAGGGATTCATCTCACCCCAACACAGAACAGAACTGGTAATTGACTCTGGAGGTATCTATTCATTACCTAGTATCACTAGGTCAGCCTTGCAGGTATGTAAAGTTAGGTGAGGGGATCTTATCATTGCTAATTAGCTAAGTCAATCTACAGGAGGGCTAACAGCAGCCTGGCTTCCTGCTGCAGGCACACATTAGCCTCCCCTTCTCTGATCTCTTCTTCTGATCCCAGCCAGCACAGGCTGCTATTCCAGCAGTAAGATATTCCTCTGCTTTAATGCTGATTTTCAGTTGATTTAGTTCCTTGGTTCCTGGCGAGGATAAAATGGCCATAATTCCTGTGAAAAATTATGCCAGCCAAGGAAAGGAATGCCCTTGGCAGTGGCTGAGATGGCCTTCAGTGTGCTGCAAAACTGTGCCATTTCATGCCAGCAGTGTACAGAAAACAGGAAGATGCATAAGTGAAAGAATTCAAGGGAGACTAAATTACCAGAAAAATAAACAAATAAATAAACAACAGAAAACAGCCACCAAAAAAACCAACAAAGAAAACCAAACAAAAACCACACACACAAAAAAAAACCCCAAACCAACCCACAAAAAAACCCCACCAAAACACAACCCAACACATAATTAGAGTGGGAAAATTTTAAAAGAAGGAAAGATATGGCAAAATACCAGGCTGCAATGGAAAATAATAACCAGCCAAAGATACAGAACATAGGAAATAGAACAACATCAGGAATTTTGTAACAGCATGCAAGCCACCAAGAGTCATGGAAAGGATCCAAGAGTGTTATCCTCAAATGACAAGGATGTACTTCTTAGAGTGATATCCTCAATATAATAAAACACTGTGATACGTAAGCATTCATGATCAAAATCTTGCATTTGAACTGGGGCAGAGTCAATGCTATTTCAACAAAAGGTTATTTTTACTTTCAGGCTGAGACCAACTAACACTCTACGATCTTATGTGACTTTACATATGATTACATCAGTGGACAAGGGAAGGGCTACAGATGTCATTTCTAGTGTTCTGTAAAGCCTTTGACATGGCACCCCACAACATCTCTCTAAATTGAAAAGAGACAGTTTTGATGGGTGGAGTGTTAGATGGACAAGAAACTGGTTGGACAATCATACTTTGAGGATGGTGGTCAACAGCTCAGTGTCCTGATGGACATCAGTGATAAGTGATGTCCCTCAGGGGTCTGTATTGGAACCAGTGTAATTAATATCATCATTAGTAATGTGGATGAAGGGATTGAGTGCACTGTCAGCAAATTTGCAGATGACACCAAGCTGAGTGGTGCAGAGACACTCCTGAAGGACAGGATGCCATCCAGAGGGACCTGGACAAGCTTGAGGAGTGGCCCATGGGAATCTCATGAGGTTTCACAAGACCAAGGGCAAGGTGCTGCACCTGGGTCAGGGCAAACCCCGGTACCAACACAGGCTGGGGATGAACAGAGCCAGAGCAGCCCTGCTGAGAAGGACCTGGGGGTGCAGGGGGGTGAGAGGCTGGACATGACCCAGCCACGTGCCCTTGCAGCCTGGAGAGCCAAATGTGCCCTGGGCTGCACCCAAAGCAGCGTGGGCAGCAGGTGAGGGAGGGGATTCTGCCCCTCTGCTCTGCCCTGGTGAGACCCCACCTGCAGTGCTGCATCCAGCCCTGGGGTCCCAGCACAGGAAGGACATGGACCTGCTGGAGTGAGTCCAGAGAAGGCCACCAAGATGATTAGAGGGATGGAGTACCTGTCCCACAAGGAAAGACTGAGATATTTGGGATTACTCGAGAAGAAAAGGCTTTGGACTCACCTAATTGCAGCCTTGCAGCACCTAAAGGAAGCCTAAAAGAGAGAGGTGGAAAGACTTATTACAAGAGCATATAGTGACAGGACTACAGTGAATGGGTTCAAATTGAAAATAGATTTAGATTAGACACTGGGAAGATATTCTTTACTGTGAGGATGGTGGTGCACTGGAACAAGGCTACCCAAGGAGGTTGTGGACACCCCACCCCAGTGCTGTTCAAGGCCAGACTGGATGAGGCTTTGAGGAATCTGATCCAGTGGAAGATGTCCCTGTCCATGGCAGGGGGGTTGGAACTAGATGATTGTAAAGGTCCCTTCCAATCCAGGCCATTCTATGATTCTATAATATCTTCACTGGACAAGTGACAGGTGATCTTGATAGCAACAGTACTATTGAATGTCCATTTATTGTTAGAGCTCTGACACACCTTTCCAAATACAGATAAGGGAAAGAAGGCAAAAGAAAGGGGAACTTATCAAAACAGCTGCCCATGTTAATAGAAAATAAATGGTTGGTACACAGAAATGGTTATAGAAGCAAAATACAGTGGGAAAATAGGTTTCTATGTGTCTGATGGGACTTAGTTGAAGCACACACAAAGGCACTCAATTCCTGCACATAACTAGACACTAACAAAGTTCTCAGAAGTCAAAGTATTCTTACACTACTATCCTACAGCAGACTTTCACTGATCAGTCTATATCATTGGCAATAGCCATGATCCAATGTAAAAGCTATTGCCAAAAGGAACTCAGCAGAAATATGTTCTAGTGGAAAAAACCTCCCACAGCAGCTCTTACACATACCACAACACGTGCACTCAAAATACTTCACTATGTACAATGCACTAGTTAACAAATATTTTTAAGATTTGAGACCAAGTACAAAGGATTGCATGTGGTTTGAGATGCTTTTGACAATCTCATCTCATTTTGAAAAAAAAATATGAGTTGAGAAGGAAACAGAATATGTAGAACTCAATTTTTAAGCAAGGGTGTTTATCTGAATTAGTATAAACTAAAGGTGTTACTTCCCTTAACTGTATACCATGATGCTTCTGCTACCAAAAGATTCTTGAGGATGACAACCCCCTTTGAAATTTTTTCATAGTCCTTCCATCTAAGCAACTGCCCTGAGAGATTTCTGTATTTTAATAATGTACATTTCTAGGGAATAATATAACAAGCTATGTTAAGTCAGTGAAAACTACTGGCATTTCCACCTGCTTTGGTACTCAGCAAATTCTGTAACAATAGCAGCAGACATACCCTTCACACAGCTAGAACACGACCAGAGGGCAGCTATGCACCAATTAAGAAGCTGCAGAACAGCTAAACAGTGATCACTTGAACCTCCACATTTGTCTGCTCCGAATTTATAGGACACTTACAGGAGCAAAAACTAATGCTACTGTTTTGATTGTGCAGTTACAAGTAAAATAAAAGGCCTCACTGGTGTTAAAGAGTACACTGACCTGAAATCCCAACATCTGCCAGTTGACTCAAGAAAATGAACAATGAAAACAAAACCAAGACTTGCCACAGTTACTCAGTGATACCAAAAAGATACAGAAGCATCACTTCTATACATAACAGAAAGTCCATGTACTCAGCACTGTAGTTGCAATGTTTAATGTCATCTTTCCTAAAATCAAGGAACAGTATGAATGTAATCACTTGTACATTAAGCCTAAATAAGCAAATGCACATTTAAATACAGAGTTGCTTAGGGGACAGTCTATCAAACATGGTGCATTGGCCTTGGCTGGATGCCAGCTGCGCACCAAGCCCCTCTGTGGGTTTTGTATAACCTTCATAAAAATAGAGAATGACAAAAGATACTTTTTGACACTCCACAGTTACATAAAAGACAATTCTAACATATCATATCAATCATATCATATCATATATCATGGCCTAGGTTAGAAGGGAGATTAAAGATCATCTGGTTCCAACCTATTTGACATGGACAGGGACCTTCCACTCGACCAGGTTGCTCAGAGCTCCAACCTGGCCTTGAACACTTCCAGGGATGGCACATCCACAGTTTCTCTGGCCAGCCAATTTCAGTGCCTCACAGGAAAGAACATTTTTCTACTATCTAATTTAAACCTGCCTTCTGTCAGTTGGAAGCCCTTTCCCCCTGTCCTGTCACTACAGGCCTTTGTAAAAAGTCCCTTTCCATCTTTCCTGTAAGTTCCCTTCAGGCACTGGAAGGCTGCAATTAGGTCACCCTAAAGCCTTCTCTTCTGGCTAAACAAACCCAATTCATGAAGATATTAAACAGCATAGGAAGGTAACCTCCAACAAAGAGTTTTTTCAGCTGCAGCTCATAGCATGGCTCTCACTACATCATCTCACTTGAACTCTACATTAGCTTTAAACTGCAAGTTCATTGCACAGCTAGAGAGAAACACTGCAAGTGCATGTGTAGGTGCTGCTGACAGATCCAGCACCCTGGAGTTTCCTCAGCATGCACCATTAGTCCTTCTCTTGCTATTCCACATGTTCTCAGTATCTGATTCCTTAACATTTCTTGAACATAACTCCACTCCAGTGAGCCATCAGAGAGACCTGTTTTCTTATTAACACCATTCTGACAAGAAACCTCATCAATACACATTTTTCTTTTAGTATTTAATAGGGCTTTCTTTTTTTCTGTTTCCTGCGCTAGGCTTTCATCAGATTCTTGTCTGGTGTTTTTAATTGATTGTCTATCATTACTGTGCCATTTAACAATGCCTAGTTCTTTCATATCAAATGTTTTAAAGATCTTTGTTTTAATTCCCAAAAATTAGATCTCTTACAAAACTTTCTCTGATGATAATAAAAAATTCTATATATACATAGAATTAAAATTACACAGTCACTTGTATAATTTTGTCCTTCCAAAGAGCAGACTGACCCTGGCATTCAACATCTCATCCATGGTCTCTTGGAGGCCCATAGACCATTTCTAAAGAGTCCACTAAAGATGAATAAATGCATACCTACTGTCAGCAAGTTTCACTATCAGCTAAAATCATCAGCACCATCACAGGATATTTTGGGGTGGTCCACAACTAAGCCTGAAAATCACTCAAACATTAAACCTTAGAGTACTGTCGGTAGGATTTTGTTTTGTTGTTGCTGTCATTTATGCTTATTCTGCAATTAGCAGACAGGACAAAAAAAAAAAAAAAAAAAAAAAATCACAGAGAGCCATGCTTAAGACCAAAGACAGGAACCAGGAACTTCAGCACATCTATGGATACAGCTTCATTCTTCAAGGTCCCTATTCAAAAACAGCCAAAGATGAAGAAGTTTCTATTTCCACTATCCATCCTTCCCCCCCAAGTTTTTCACCTCTAAACCTCCAAGTGAGAGATGCTTAAGTTCAACGCTGGTAACACGACCTCTGAATCTCTCTCTCTCTGTGGCCTCACCCCAGGTTCAAACAAAGCATCTGAAACCATCTCCTAACAATCCAGCCACCTTAAGAGGTAGGAGGTTCCTGTGGTTTTACTGGAAAACTTGGGTGTCTAAGCTTTCTTACTGCACAGACCAGAGATGGTCAACATCTTGCCTGAGGAGAATAACAAGACACTCTTCTCCCACCTAGCATGTTTTCATCAATGAAACACATTCAAAATCATTCATCTGCCTCCAAGCACATCAAATTACTATGTTGGTTAGTTACAGGGGCACCTTTCCAGCAGATGGGAGGTGGAGGCCTGGAGGAATACAGTGAGCTTCATTTAAACCTCCTACTTCCCAGGTAAGCAGACAGCAGGTTATTAAGTGACAGCTGGGTAGCAGCAGTCTGTTTTTCAAAGAGAACTGTAAAAAACACTTTTCTCAGAGCCATTTTTCAAAATCTCCTTGCTTGAAGGACAACCCAGCACACAAATTCAAGGTAAGCTTCCACCTTCCAGAACTTTAGTTCCTGCAGTATTTGGCACTGAAGATAGTGAATTGATCCACTTCCACATCCAGCAGAGAATAGTGGGGAACCCCTCAAAAGCAGTTTTCAGATGGCTGCTGTGGCCATCAGACGCCTGTCTGACTGTGGTGAGTCACTTTCTTCAGCACTTAGCTCACCTCCACTCACTTCACATGGCACAGAAGCATAGCCAGTTCTTAGTTTGGAGTCTGGTATCCAGCTTGCAGCACTGCAAAACTGTTTATTCATGTCCAAGCCAAACCATTCTATGATACAGTGCAGAAGAAAACCAATGTAAACCCTCTAACTCCTCATCATTTGTCATACTGCTCTGTCCTGGTCTCCAGGACACCCTATGGACCTCCTAACCAATCTTCTGATAAAGTTTTGAGGGGGCAGAATCCAAATAATCCCAGAAGCTAAGTATCCTTGGGTTCTATGGAAACATTAGGAGACTGGTGCACTGATGAAGCACTCAAGCAGACCACCTTCTGTTTCTTTCTTGCCTACAGACATCTTATACAACTATAGGCAAATGACCCAGGACTAGATTTTTTTCTGAAGAGGCACTTAGATGGATGAGATAAAAACCTTGCTGGATTTTCAAAACCACCTCTTTCTAAAGCTTCAGGCTCCTAGTAGGTTGTTTTAAGAGTTCTTATAAGATCTTAAAATCCAGACATACTCCCATGCATTTTTCAATTCCAAATATATAAAATGGAACACTTTTAGCACAAAAGTTGGCAAAAGTATTAACAAAGCCTTAGAAATGTTATTAAATATTCCTTGTACAGGTGTTTGTATGGCTAAAAATATCAAAAGGCTTTAAACTTTCTGCTGGACACTCTCTTGAAGGGTCCTACTCTCATGGATGAAAACCAGGATAGCCTGTGGCTCATGTGCAAACCAGAAGGAAACACTTGAATTTTAAGAAGCTGCCAACTAGTTATCAACCAGCTGATACCTTATGAGCCCAGTCTGTGCCTCTTTCACGAGACTAACTTTTCCAAAATACTCCCTAACACTCCTTTCATCAAGGGAAATTAAAATAGCGAGACCCTGACAACACAGCCTTATGGGAAACGTGGTTCAACTGTGAAGTTCAGCCAGTAGTGAAATGCAGTGCAAAGCACAAACTACACTTCCCAAGAGACATGATGAGAATATTTTTGGCTAAACTCTCCTGGTTTTCAGCCAAAATAATTTCATGAACTGAACTATCCCAGAAAACTGACACTTTTCTCTAGAAAGCTACTCTGCCAAAAGTCTTCCCACTTCAAAAGAATTCTGGTTCAAGAATCTTTGGACAGACCTAGAGATGACTAAAGTAGCTTTAGAAACAGTGTAAAATCATTCAAAATACTCAGAAAAAAATAGCCTTGACCATAACATACGATTAGAAATTACACAGTAGATTTCTGCTCTCAAGACATCACTTCCACAGCACAATTCTCAGTTGACTATAGGAATATGCCACGTTTAAAATGCTATTTTGACTATGGATTTAACTTACACATTATCTTTCATGTATTAACTAAAACAGTAATTTCATTTTAACAGATACATCTAAGAATTTTATGAGAGACAGTCCAAACATTTTTAAAAGGAATACTCAGCTTTAAAGTCTTGCTTCTTGTCTACAACACTGGCACACCTTATTTATGCTGCATCTGTAACATACTAAAACTTTAGGGAGAGTGGCATTGTGTGACCTTTAAATCAGTGTTTGCTTTATATTTTCTGATCACTATAATGCCTTAAATGTTCATGATCATATAAACAATCACATGGATATTAAATACAAAGATCTCAGCTACAGAGAAGAAAATATAGGGCAACAGTTTTTACATTTGCCACATTTTAAAAATCTTTCAATACCCAAGAATCAAAGTGTATTGGTTTTGCACCAATAAACAAAGTCATAGTATTTCCAATACAACTGCTCCATTTCACTGTAGGACGAGTAAAGTTGGGTATTTCAGTTCTCCACAGTGATTTCATTTTGCTAGAAAACAATCCCCCTCCAAAATTTCACTGCCTATACTGAACACATATGTATGCACAGAGGTCAGAATGGAAACTTGCAAGCCCCTTATGAATCCTGACAAGCAGCCATGTGCCCCACAGCTTATTGAAATATGGCTTACTCTCATATTCCTGCTCACTTAGACCAAGATTTTGTATCATTATACATCTAACCATTTCTGCATGTTACTACTCCCTATACGACTTAGTTTTCACTGAGATGCTCTTAACCATGCAGCAGTGTAATTTCAGCCCTTACTGGACCTTCTGTCATATGTTTCACTTCTGCAGTGCCAGTCTTCATTCTCTGCTTTGCAGTTGTATTAAAAGATCACTTTTTAAAGTGGAAAACAGACAACTGCCTGTGTCTGTTACCAGGAATTACAACTCAAGAATGAAATAAAATAAGTTTCAATTGTAGGAAAAGTTAAAATTCATACACTGTTTAATCCTTCCCTGCTAAAAGGAAAGCAAGCTCTTGCAATGGCATTTGTACATTTTAAACACAACCCCCCCTAAACTAAACTGGCATTCAGTGATCTAACTCTCATGGGTGCTTCTCAATAGAAAGGTCCAATGTTACCCGATAGACTCAAGCAAGCTCCTTTTTCATTTGCCTTCCCCTTCTGTTTGGGGATTGTCAATCATATTTTGCCATATACAAAGCAGCTCCCTAAAAAACATCAAGACTTTTTCCTCTACATGTTTTTACAGAGTGAAAGCATTAAAAGTCTCTTACCTTATGGCTGAGAGAATGGGAACTGCACAATGCTCTGTGCCTGCAGGGACACTGCACAGATGAACCTCATTGCTGCTGTTTACAGAAGTCTGACAGTTTTTAATTTAAAAAGAGGTTGTCTTTTGCTTTTCGACAGTTCAACAAATCAGACAAAACAGTTGCAAGTGTTATCTGTAAACAGCTTCCTGTTTGAAATAGATCAGCTGTCCTGAAGGACAATAATTAGGGAAGAAGTGTGGGAAAACTGAAGAGGTCCATGATGTAAGCTTTTTATTTTGGGAATGTACTTTTTTGGGAATGCACACTTACTTTCCGCTCCTCCTCTCTAGCAGAGAACCCCTTTTTAACCATTTATATCTATTCAGCTCTAAGCCATGCACGCACACTGCCCCAGCACAACACTCTCCTTGCTTTGCTTCAGCAGATATGAAAACACATGAAATGCAGCACTGAATGTGATTTTCTTGTGTGGCTAATTAGCACACTCTCCCCTTGCTGAAATTAACTCTATTCTTGCAATTGGCTGCACCATTCTTGACTTGAGTAAAATATGCAACTGTTTCAGAGCCATGTCTGAACACCCCACAACAACATAAATGCTAAATTATCCACATGACAGGCATCTTCACAAAATTTTGTGATGTATTTTAAATACCTTTTTATACAATTTAAGTGCTTTTCACTTTTAAGCTTCTAAATACTTGTACAACTTTGATTTTTACCTTTAACAGCTAGACTAGTTTGAGGCCTGGATAAACCACAGTACTCCACACACATTTAAGCAGCAAAAAACCGGGGCCAGCTGGTTCTGGGAAGTGGGATTTTGAGAACAGCCCCCCCGCCCCCCCCCGCCTCAGTTACAGCAGTTTATACTTCAACAGATATAAACAGCTTCACTCTCAATTTCCAGGGTAAATAGAGTACCACTTGTGACTGTATTAATTAATACTCTCCGATGAAAAGCTGCTGTATTTGTAAGACTGTAGCTCCGATAGCTACAAAAAAGATCCTGTGAATCATGTCTCCATCCATCTCGTGCCACTGTTCCCTCCTCCCAGTTCTTCCAGGTAATGTTTGAGGGGCCATATTATAAGCAAGCACCCATTAGGCTGGGAGCCTGGGTAACCCCCAATATGTGACCTCTTACTGGAAAACCAGAAAAGGAGCTAAGGGCAGTAGCAGGAGGTTCCTTTCCACCTTCCACAGTCCCAAGATCAGGAAAGTATTAGAACACAGAAAAGGTTTTATACTGAGGGGTTAGAGAAAGCCGCAATAGAATCATCTGTGTGCTCACTTCTTTACCACTTTTCAGATCTCTTTTGAGGTGTACGTCCGCTTCATTGAGAATTTTGTGCTGCGGTGGGGTTTGCAGTACAAGCTAATGACACTGTGCTGATGTGCTCTCTTCCTGCTTTGCTCTTGACATTATATATCCTCTCTCCCAGCAAACCTCTCCCTAAGCCTGGGGTGTGCAGCCTTCTTGCCCATGACAGCTCCTGTTTTGTCAGCCCAGAGCACACATGGCCCAGCTTTAATGGCAAGGACAAAAACAGATTCAAAAAGAGGTAGTGATGCCTCATACTCAGGACTCCTTGTGGATTACCTACATACAGGTTTCCATGTTGGACTGGAACCTAGCTACCCTCCACTGCTATGGACTCCTGAATTTTAACACACATCAAATGGTCATGAAAAGTTAAAAGCCTATGTTCGCTTCCTTGGTAGATTACCTCAGTAAAGAAAGGGCACTATGGTAGAACATGAACATAACTGTGTAAGGACCATGCAACTCTAATTTTAAAGTTCATTTTTTATGCATACAAGCCCCATCAGTTCAGTGAGATCAGAAGGCAATTAGCAGGACTGGGCCCTTGCAGCACTCTGTTGGCAGAAACTTGCCAAGACAAACATTTTATGTAAAGAATGCAGCAAAGTGACTGTAGTCTAAGCCTTTGAAGATCATATTACCATGGCAAAGACAACTCCATTTACATACACATCTACTCTCCCTGTAAACACAGGCAAATAACTTTGAGGCCAGAACCAGAATTCAATGGAGAAATAGAGCCATTCAGGGAAAGTTGGTAGAAAAGGTAGGACACCAACACCAGGGAAGCAGAAGTAAAAACAAACATAAATGACCAGAGTTCAAAAGGAAAGGACAAACATTATAAATACAGTTAAAGTGCTTTCTCTAAGAATAGGGAGAATAAGCAAGCACACGGTTTACTTTCACACGAGAGAAAGACACAGACCCCATACAGAAGGGTATAAGTAACCTTTTCCCACCCCAAAAACCAACTGGAAACTGTGTAGCCATATTGGTGCATCATCTAAATCAAGGTACTATGTGCAAACTGGGGTACTGATGCATGGACCATGTGGGAGCAGCTTAGGTCATCACCAGGTCACAATAGCTTCTGGTTATTAAGTTCTTTATTATGCTAACATGGATGTCTAGGACACTGATTTTCAAGTCTTTCAGCCAACCTTGCTGGACAGAGAGAGACAGCCTTCAGAGGCCACAGTATACCAGCACAGAGGAACAAGCAGCTCATGGACAAACTGAATCACAGAAACGAAGCCTTAACAGGATGGAAGCAAGAATGGGTAGCCTGGGAGGAACAGAGATTGTCTGAGCAATGAGACATCATGTTAGGAAAGCTAACATACACTGAGAAAATTAAATCTGTCCAGAGACATCAAAGGCAACAAGAAAAGCTTCTTTAGATACATCAGTGATGTATCTAAAGGAAGATTAAGGAAAATGCAAATCCTCTCTGCAAGGAAAAGGAGACCTGTTTGACAGGCTTGAGAGATGGGCCTGTGCAGACCTCACGAAGCTCAACACCAAGTGCAAGATCCTGCACCTGGGTTGGAGCAATCCCAAGCATAAACACAGACTGGGCAGAGAATGGATCAAGAACAGCCCTGAGAAGAACTTGCTGGTTGATGAGAGGCTCAACATGAGCCAGTCAGGTGCCCTTGCAGCCCAGAAATCCAACCACATCCTGAGCTGCATCAACAGAAGCATGGCCAGCAGTTTGGGGGAAGTGATTCTGTCCCTCTACTCCTCTCTCATGAGAGCCTGCCTGCTATGCTACATCCAGCTCTGAGATCCCCAACATAAGAAAAATGCAGACCTGTTGGAATGAGTCCAGAGGAGCGCTAATGAGGCCAGAGAAACTTTCTAATGAACACAGGCTGAAAGGGTCAGGCTTCCTCAGACTGGAGAAGGCTCCTGAGAGATGTTAGAGCACCTTCCATTACCTAAAGGGGGGTAGGGCTAAAAGAAAGCTGGAGAGAGACTTTTTACAAGGACATGTAGTGAATAGGGCAAGGCAGAAAGGCTTCAAACTGAAAGAGGGCAGGTTTATATTAGATACTATGCACTCTTTATTGTTAGACTGGTGAGACACTAGAACAGGTTTCCCAGAGAAGTCGTGGATGCCCAATCCCTGGACATGCTCCAGGCCAGGTTGGATGGGGCTTTAAACAACCTTATCTAGAGGAAGGTGTTCCTGCCCACAGCAGGGGGGGGCTAGAGTACATACCCCTTAAGGTCCCTTAAAACCCAAACCTGTTTCTATAAAAATGTTTCTATACAGCAAGACATTAATTAGGCCACCTACCTCAGCTTGACCCACTACAAATCTTTTCCTCAGCCTTTAAATTCAGATTAAATATCACATTGACACAACTACGAGTAGAATTCTTGGGTTCAAACCAAACCAAAACCATGCAGATAAAATCCAACTGGTTGTAAAAAGACAATAAAAAGTTTTTAGAAAACAGGAAAAATATGCTAATACATTTTAGGAGCATCCAGGTAAATTTTTCTACACTTTGCATAGTCAGCTGGAATTATCTTTGTATCTGTAAGAGGATTAAACACAATATCTATTTAAAAATACAATGGCTATTTAAAAATCCTAAGAGAAGATGACAAGGCCCTGATTCTCCCTTTGGTTCAGCAAAGTATCCAATGGTATCAGCATTTCCCAATCAGATTTTTCCAAAGGATGAAAATTTCCAATACCCAAACTACTTAAGAAATCAGTATCTGAGCTCAATTGCCAGAGCTCATTTTATTGCAGGCCATCACAAATGCTGTTCTACTTACTGAAAGTAAAAGCTGCCTCACTAACCAGCCCTTATTAGGCCTCCCAGGGCACTGCCAAGAGACTCCTAAAAGTGGCAAGGAGGTGCAGCAGATACAGGATTCCTCCACGGTACAGACATGCACCCAAGCATGCCAAGTGCAACCCCTCCTCTGCTCTTGGGGCAGCACAACGTGCTTTATTCCCTTTGCTTCACATAACAGTATCTGTTTAGCCAAGAAAAAAGGAAACAACTTTATTAAGCATTAAGACAATCCTGGTAAAACAGCCTGTAGATCTGTCCCTGTGAAGACATCCACCTGCCATCTGAACATCTTCTTAGCACCTCCCCAGCGCCTCTGTGGGCACAGAGAGCAGAGGCACTCCTTACTTTCTGCGCAGTACATGAGATGTAGGGTGGGAAAGATCAGTGTGCCATCAATACAGGATTAACTTTAGTTGCAACTGTGTAAAACCTGGCCTTCTACTTCATTAGTGATGTTGAATTAATTTATTTTTTTAGTATAAAAATTTATAAGCAGCATTCACTGCAGCAATTATGCTTTTTCTGTTAGTCATCTCTAAAACTGGAATAAACTCCTCAGTGCTTGAATTTAATTCTATTTTTGCTGCTCCAGGTGCAGATCACAACTGAGCCACACATGTTGACTCAATATGCAATAATTAAAATTGTTAGCTATTAATCATTTAGCAACACCAAGCAGTAATTGCATGACACTAAGCTTGATTTTCCTGAAAACAAGAAAAACTGGAAGGTAAAAGAGTGGAAACATTAACTCATACACTTAACAAATCCAACAAACTCTCTTCTTGATGACAATACATAAATAAGGACTTTTACTTGTATCTCTGTAGGGAACAGAGCATTAGTACATAGATATTCGTGTCAGTAGGGCTTTCACAGGAGTACCCTCATGGCAGGCAGCAAGGGGCAGGGCAAAGGCACTTTGTTAAAACAGCGGTGAATTATTTACACTGATCAGTGCTGCAGTCAGCCCCTACTGGAGACAGAGAAACTCGCACTCCCTCAGCCTGACCTCCAGCCTTCATTTTATAAGGCT